CGCCTGTGCAACGTGCAGTCTGTGTGTTTGTGTTTCTCCAGGTTCTGCTTGTATTAACAGAGGTTCATACATCGTTTCCACCACTCAGGACCAATGCATTAATAATAATTCCTTACACAAATATAGCACTTTCCTGGACACTCCACTCAAAGTGCTTTACAGGCGCTGGGGATCCCCTCCACCAGTATAGCCAGAGTGGGCCAGTAGTCTCCCCACACACCAGCTCTCAGTAAGGAGGAGACCAGAGTGATGAAGCCAGTTCAGAGATGGGGATTATTAGGAAGCCATGATTGGCAAGGGCCAAGCAGAAATCTGGCCAGGACGCCAGGGTGACAGCCCTACTCTTCTCAAGAAATGTTCTGGGATTTTTAATGACCACAGAGTCAGGACCTCGGTCTTACTTCTCATGCGAAGGATGTATTTTGTCTGCTGTCGGCAGTCCTGGGGCAGGGCTCTAGGTTTAAAAGATGGTGCAGGTGTGAACGGTCATTCACTGCTCTGGGGCTGGAGATCAGGATCGGGTGCAGTCCCCGAGCGTTCCAAGGAGAGTTCGGGAATTGTAATCTTCAAAAGGGTAGGCGGTGGTAATTTACACATATTCGTGTTTAACATAAAGGTAGCTCCCTCTACCTTTTTGACATGTATGGTTTCTCTTTAATCATAAATATTTGTTTTGTATTATCTTGGTTTTGTTTTATTTTTGTAAATAAAGCCTCACGGTCATTTTCTCACTGAACTTCAGCCATTTTCCCTACAGCTACCAAACATTTTCCCCTTGCAGGTCTAAATATGAAAACATCTCTGGACTCACCTATCAACCTCACAATCACATACAACATATTCCACAACATTTAGGGATGTTGTGAATTACATACTTTCACATTCTTGCCATTATATATATTTTTTTTTCAAGAGGCAACAAAACAATAAATGACGGAAAACCCATAGCATTTGTTGCATTTTATTGCCTCGGTATAAACATTGTAACTTTGAAACAGCTGCCTCTCGTTTGTGTCTAATTTCAGAAAGCCAAACCAGGAAACACCCGAGAGCTCAGCCAAGGCTTTTAAAGGAGCCCGGTGTGAGCGAAGGGTGACGGCACATACCGACGATTCTGGCCAGCGGGGTGACGTTCAGCCTCCTGGCGGCCTCGGCTGTCATCAGGACTACGGCAGCCGCCCCGTCGTTCAGCGTGCTGGCGTTGGCAGCCGTCACGGTGCCTGCAGAGCGAAGCGATCAGCGATCAGGCTCCACCAGAACACCCCTCGCACCAGGCCTGGCCTGGCCTGCCCTGCCCTGCCCACCACACAGAGCCGCCGCCAAACAGAGATCCCATCCCAGCTCTTGGCGTCACAACTGCAGCACTGTGTGTTGGCCGGGTGGGTTTCCAGAGGCCCCC